TTGCTACGAGTCCCAGTAAAGCCTTGCCTGAATTTCTCGTCTGGCCTCATCAATTTATGTTGATTAAAGAGCCCAAGGACCTGGGTTGTAACACACACACACACACAAACACAAACACAATGACATGTTTAACCATAAAAGTGAAGATTTTGCCACTTAGAACAACATGGATGATCGTAGAGAACGTTATCCTCAGAGAATTAAGCAAGACAGAGACAGGTATTAAATGGTCTCCCTTATATGTGGCACAGGAGCGGGAGTGTTGATTCTGAACATTAAATGGCATCTTTCCAACTTTCAAAATTGACTTCTAAAGACCCATGTTGCCTGAGGCAGAAGCCCGGAAGAGGAGGAAGAGCAAGAGAAAAAAAAAGCCAGGAATGGCTGTTTCTCAGGTAAAGTCCTATTCTCACTGGATTCTCAGTCTGTCCTTCCTGAAATGCCCTTCTTTGGACTCACTAATCCTGTCTGACTCTGCAGCGTCCTGCCTGACACCTGGACATCCACAGTCACCCAGGGCCCCCCCTCAGCGCCTGTCCTCCCCACTCAGACTCCACCCCCGGGACCCCGGGACCTGGAACGTGTGAAGCGGCTCCCTGGGTGGCGTCCTGGGCGGGCTTCACCCCCGTGGGTTGGAGACGCGGAGTCAGTGCTGTGGGGCAGCAGGGCGAGTTGAGGTGCGCTGTCTGCTCTCTGTAAATCAGAGAAAGAAGCTGCACAGGGAAGTCAGGTAGTAATGGGCACAATACCTGGTAGAATATGGAAAAGAGACCAAGAAGCGGGAATCAGTTCTGACTTTTGATAGCGCACCCCACAGCGTACACCCCTAAATGAATACCTCCTTCAAAATCTTAATGGTTGGGAATGGAATAGAAGGTTCAGCAAGAGACATCAGTGATGGAGGGTGTTTTATTCCATCATCGATTTTAAGCTATGAAATCAGTCTGGATGTCTGACACTTGGGAGATTCTTTAACTCATTTTCATCACCTCCATTCCTTGGAGGCTGTCTTTTCACTCTGTGGATTGTATCCTCTGGCACATACACGTTTCTGCATTTGATGCAGGTGAGGTTCCAGCTTCATTCTTTGGCTGGTGGAGACCAGCTTCCCGGCACCCTTTGTTACTGAGACCATCCTGTTCCCATGGTGTGGTCTTGGCTCCCTTGTCAGTACGTTCTGCATATATGCAAAGGATTCCTTCTGAGCATTATATTCTCTTCTGCTGTTTTATATGTCTGTTTATGCCAGTATCGCACCATCTTGATTATAACATGTTCTGAATTCTAAAACAGTGAGGCATCCAGCTTGCTTCTTTTTCAAGAATGTTTTCCCTATTTGGGGTGCCTGCAGTTTCCATATGAATTGTAGCTTTTTTTTTTTTTTCTATTTCTGAAAAAAAACTGCCATTGGGAATTTGGTAGGGTTTCCATTGAATCTGTAAAACACTTTGCATAGACATTTTAACAATATTAAGTCTTCCTGTCCATGAGTAGTGGATGTCTTTCTGCTTTATATCTTTGATTTCTTTTAAAAACATTTCATATTTTTCGGGGTAGAAGTCTCACAAACTCCTTTTTATTCCTGAGTTTATTCCTGAGAATTTCTTTATTTCTTTTCCTTTTTTTTTTTGATGCTGTAGTAAATAGGATTGTTTTCCAGTTTTCTTTTCAGATTGTTCATTGTGAGTATCTAGAAATGCAGCTGATTTTTGTGCATTGACTTTGTCTCCTGCAATTTGTCTAACATCGTCTTTCAGTTGTAAGAATTTTCTTGTGGAATCTTTATGGTTTTGAACATACAAGATTTTGTCACCTGCAAAACAAAACTTCTCCAATTTGGATGGCTTTGATTTATTTTTCTTGCCTGTTCTGGTTAGAATTTTCAGTGCTTTGTCGAACAGCAGTGCAGGGGCTGTGCATCCTTGCCTTCCTGATCACAAAGGAAAACCTTTCGTCTCTCACCACTGAGTGTGATGTTAGCTGCGTGTTTTTCATATATGGCTTTCATCATGCTGAGGTACTTTACTAATTTTTTGGTATTTTGAGTGTTTTTATCTTAAAAGGTTGTTGACTTCAGTTGAATGCTTTTTTGCATCCATTGAGATGATCATGTATTATCTTTTCCCTTCATTCTATTACTGTTGTTTATTATACTGATTAATCTTTTCATTTGGAATCATCCTTGCAGGGTTTTTTATTTCTGCACCTGTCCCTCAAGTTACAATTCTGTTCACATTTTTTAATTTCTTATTGATTAAGTCTTTGTAGGAATGTGTACATCTCTTCTAGGTTATGTAACTTTGGGGCATAAAATGTTTCATAGTACTCTTGCAGTCCTTTAAAAAGTTACTGTGATACCAGTTACAATATCTCTTCTTTCAAGCCTGATTTTAGTTATTTGACTGTTCTCTTTGTTTTTTCTTCCCTTAGTCTAGTAAAGGGCTTGTCAACTTTATAATCTTTTCAAAAAAACTAACCCTTGGTTTGTTGATTTTATATAATTTTTCTATATTTTCTGTTTTACTTATCCATGGTCTAATCTTTCTAATTTACCTATTTCTGCTAAATTGGGGTTCAGTTGTTCTTCTTCTACTTCCTAGAGTTGTAAAAAGAGATTTCTGATTTGCCGCTTTTTTCCCTTTTTAACGTAATCATTCAGCAGTGTAGCCTTCCCTCTTAGGGGCGCTTTTGCTGTAGCCTGTGACATTTGATGTGCTGTATGTTCACTTTTTCATCTAGATGTGTTAAAAATTCCCTTGTGAGTTCTTTATCCTGTTGGTTATTTAAGAATGAGTTGTTTAATTTCCACATTTTATGAATATTTGTTTTCCTTCTCTTATTTTTTCTAGTCTCATTTCACCGAGGTTAGAGAAGATGCTTATTATGATCTCAGTCTTCTGAAGTTTGTTAAGATTTATTTTGTGGCCTATCATGTGGTCCATCATGGAGAATGTTCCGTGTTTGCTTGTGAAGCATGTGTCTCCCGCTGTTGAGTGCAGTGTTCTGTGCATGCGTGTTAGGTACGGTTGTTCTGTAGTGTGGTCAGGTGCTCAGGTTCCTTGTTGATCTTTTGTTTGGTTCTATCCGTACTACATAAAACTGGGGCACTGATGTCTCAGACTGTTGCTGTGCTGTTCTGTATGTCACTTCTGTCAATGTTTGTTTCATATATTTGGAGGCTCTGATGTTAGATGTATAAATGTTTATAATTGTTACATCTTCATGATGAATTGATTCTTTTGTAACCATAATTTTTTTTTTGTCTCTTGTGACAGTTTTTGTCTTTAGTCTGTTTTATCTGATGCTCTGTATCTACCCCTGCTCTCTTTAGGGCAGAATATCTTTTTCCCTTTTGTCACTTTAATCCTATTCATGTCCTTAGATTTGTGAAATGTAACATTTCCAGCACTTTGACACTCTCTGTCTCTCACTCTCAGTTTTTTCCCCCTTTTAACTACTTCTGCTGGTCCCGGCTCAGACATCATGTACACTGGTGAATGGCAGAAACTCTGGCCACTGTAATTTCAGAGGAAATGCATCCAGTGTTTTCTGCTGATCATGAAGTCTGGAGAAATATTTTTGCTTAGTGATAGTTTTTTTCGCCTGATTTCCTTTTTTTCTGTCATGATTTTTAATTATGCAAGAATTTTTTTAAAGTATCTATTACCGTGATAAATTTTTTAACTTCCTCTGTTAAATTTTTGTCTAACACTGATAACTTTACTAATCTTGATTTGACATTTTATTAATGGAATACACAAATTAATTCTGACTTTTGTTAATAACTACATACCTAAAATTAAGGAAGGATAAAATGGTATTATTTAGAATATAGGTATTTATACAGATTGGAGTTATTGTGTTCTATATATTTTTTCATATTTGTACTAGTTTTTTTTTTTACTGGCCTGATATAGAATAATGCTGACAAACTAACAAGTACAGCTGATCCATTTTCATTGTCCCAAAGATGCTGAAATACACATGATTAAAAATGATAATGAAAAAACTGTCCAAAAATGTGTCAAGAGGCAACTCCTCTCATTTCAGTTAAGTGTGTTTACATGTGTGTACCTGAGTTCATGGATGTGCAAGTCCATGAAGGCATTATCATTTAATAAATATATTTTATCTTTTTTAGCAGTTGAAATTACATGTTAAATATATTCCATGGCCTTAAATTTTTTCTACCACTATCACAAGAATGATTTAAACAGTAGTAAGATGACTGACATAGTGTCTGTGTGTGTGTGTTGTGTATGTGCACGGTGACCTTTCCTGCTGTTCCATGAACCTCAGCCTCCTTGAACTGGCTCCGGGTTTCTCAGGGCGCCCTCTGTCAGTGGGCCTTTACGCTCTGCCACTTGGCTGTTTGACTCCTAGGTTGAATTCTAACGCCCAGATGCTTGCTGTGACATTTCTTAGCTGTTCGGTCTGAGGTGATTCCTTAGAGTGTCTGTGGCAGTTTTGTCCTCTGTACGATGGGAACAGATCTTTCTTTCATGAGCTGTTATTTTGGTAACAGGTCCATCCGTGTAAAGCTTGTAGAGTGACGCTTAGTATGTAGGAGGAGGTCAAGTCATTGCTGTCATCATCACAATTTCAGATCTGCCTTTTTTTTAAAGCCAATGTGGCCTTTGTCATCCCTGAAGACACCACTCAGACCACAGCTCACCTAGATACTGAATATCACTCAGTGTGTAGAATGTCACATCTTAACACTTCTGTGCAGATAACCCAGTGTTGGGTTTTATTTGTCTATATTTTATGTATTGTCCGTAAAAGAAATCGACATTGATTTGGAGGATATCATAATGTCTTATGAAAAAGCATAAGAAATGATAATTAGAAAACCAAAATTTGCTCCAAGTACCTTTGCATGGCCCTGTCAGAGCACACACTTCAACCAAGTCAGTCCTTACCCCTCTCTCCTTTTCTCATTTTGTGTGAAAATAAGAACTCTGGTCATGGCCCCGTGGTGAAATGTGTTTTCATTTCAGGCACAATTGACCTTCAGGGATGCGGCCACCGACTTCTCCCAGGAGGAGTGGGAGTGCCTGGATCCTGCCCAGAGGGCCTTTTACGTGGATGTGCTGTTGGAACTTGTCTCCCTGGGTGAGGAGAACATTTTCCCAGAAGCTGGGGTCTGCCCTTGGGGGCTTTGCATTTTCTGTGTGCCTCTTGGGAGCCCCTGCCTTGCTTGACTGTGCTCGGAGCCCTGTTGACTCAGACACGAAAAGCTTTGCAACTGAGCATCAGGGATTTGAGTCTTTCCTTCAGGGGACCTGCCCTCCTCATGATACACCAGGATTTGCTCCAGAGCTTAAGCATTTATAAAGCTGATTTCAAACTTTTGAAGTATCCAATTCCCTGTCTTCCACACCTAGGCTCTAATTCTGTCGTTCTTGGAAAGGAACTAGATGACTGAATATCATGCTGCTCCCTCTGCACGCAGAAGGAGGCGAACAGTGGGTGAATTTGTGAAATATTTTTCCCCACCCAACTGTCATGTCCTCACTCCTCAGCTGAACAAAGAGCTGGGATTCTGGAAAAGCCACAGCACGTGGCGTCTCTTTCTTCTTCTGAGCAGGAATTTCTGTTTCTCATCTGAATATTATCTCTATTTTGGAGCAAGAGAAAGAGCCCTGGACTGTGGAGAGTGGGGTGAAAATAGCAAAAACCAAATGCGTGGGAATGGGAACGCACCAACGTTGTGGACCCAGGTCAGCTCTCAGAAGGGCAGAGAGGAAGCCACAGCATTGATAGTGTCTGAGAAACTTGCCCCACATTGGAGAGTTCTATGAGAAAACAGAAGTTTATTCTCAACTCTCAGAGGAAACGTTTCTTCTCCCCAGCTTACCACTCTGTCCTTGAACATGCGAAATGTGAGCTTTCACCCTCCAGGGGCGCTGCAGCCCTCTGCCCTCTGCCCCCTGTCAACCTTGCTGCTTGACTTGGAGGCACGGGGGATGGATGGGCTGTTTGGAAGGGGTCTCCTTCCGTCCTTGTCTCTCCTGTACTTGATTCCACTGGCTGTCCAGTTCTTGGTCTGTATAGGTCGGAGCTGACACCTCCAGAGAGCCCTGATCCCTGGGCTGATCCTGATTCCATCCCAGTTTGCTGTGCATTAAAGACCTAAACAGGAGGTGGGAAAGCACTGGCTGCTCTCTGATTCCACCTGGCACCTCAGACCCTGCACGGAGCTGCCCAAGCGCTGTCTGCGGCTCCGGTCCCTTAGCTATTTCTTCTGTTACTGCTGTGCCCCAGCCTTCAGGGGGGTGTGTAAAGGGGCAAAGAGTGGGATCTCCTGTACTTGTTCCTTAGGAAAACTGTAAAGACAGTGGATGGAGAGAGTGTCTTTGACCCCCAGTCCTCCGTGGGGAGCATATATGAATCAGGCTCCGAGCTTGGCACCTGTGGGTAGAGCGCAGGGTCCCAGGTCAAGGTTACACAGCGTCTGACCCCCCATATCCTGCCTTTTTCTCGCTCTTGCACCTGTTTGTCCAGTCGGGGCTTGTAGTCTCTTCCTGATAGCGTACGCTCTTAAACTGGCATGATTTTGCCTTTGGAACTTGCTTTTGAAATATACTTCGTAGGGTCTAAAATTTTACCCTATTTTTAAATTTTATTTTATTTTATTTTTTGCTCTGATAAGCCACCTTTAGGTGATGAACATCTTCTGGTGGCCTTTCCTGTGGAATGAGTACGCTTGGTAACAGAACGTTCTTGGTGGAGAATGTTTTCACTGGCGCTTTGCAGTGTTATTCCGCCACATACAGAAGCACGACGAAGCTGCTCAGTAGGGCGGTCAGCGTTTCTCAGGACACTGAGGTAGAAGTTCTCATGAGAGCCTGACTGAGAAGTGTTTCTAGTTTCCTTCTGGTTTTGAGAAATGTCACAAAAGCATGTCTCAAGGGCTCTGTGACAGTCTTGTTTACATATACTAACGGTCATTCCTTTTGAGAGTCAATAAATGGTATAAGAATTTTTCCTAGGGTCAACACTGTCCAAGTTCATGTCTGCAAATCTTTGAGGCTGTTGGCTAAACTTGTTCTTGCCACATTTTTCGTGCCCTATGTGTGTCACTTGTCATTCTACTTCAAGAAATACAGTGGTTTTGTTTTTCAGTTGAAGTATATTCAGTTATAGTGCATCTGTTTCTGGTGTACAGCTTACTATCCCAGCCATGCATAGATGTACATATATTTGTTTTCATATTCTTTTTCACTAAAGGTTATTACAAGATTTTGAATATAGTTCCCTGTGCTATACCGAAGAAATTTGGTTTTTTAATCTATTTATATATATTTTGGTTATCAATTGCAAATCTCAAATTCTCAAATTTATCCATCCCACCATCTTTCCCCCAGTCACTGTAAGATTGTTTACTATGTCTGCGAGTCTGTGTTTTGTAGAGGAGTTCATTAGTGTCCTAAGAAATACAGTTTTGAAGCATCTTAATGAGGGAGCTTATAAGCTGAATGGTGCCGCCAGTGAAAGCACTGTAATTTGCTTTGTTTAAGTCACTGCTACTTTTGTTTGGCACATTGCTATGCATTATAGATGAACTTGATTTGTATTTATTTAATTGTTAGGGCCATATTTTTGATGGTACTCTTTGTGTTCTTTGTTTAATATCTGCAGTGTGTGGGAAGATTGAATTGGGGAACGGCCCCCTGCCATGGTAGCCAGACCCTTTTAGAGTTTTTCGTATATTCTCAATATTAACCTGTTGTCAGATATATTATGTGCACATATTTTCTACCATTCCATATATTGTCTTTTGACTCTGCTGTGTATGCTTTGATTTACAATAGCTCGTAATTTCAATGCAGTCTGGTTTATTTGTTTTCACTTTTGTTACCTGTGCTTTTGCAGTCATATCTGACCAGTCGTTGTCAAATCCAACATAATGAAATTTTCCTGTTTTTTTCTTCTAGGAGTTTTATAGTTTTAGGTGTTACGTTTAGGCATTTTGTCCATTTTGAATTAAATTTTGTATATGGTGTAATGTAATGGTCCAACTACATTCTCATGCGTGAGGAGGACATCCAGTCTCAACACCTTTTATTGAATGGACTGCCCTTTTTCTTTTGAGTGGTCTTAACGCCCTTGTCAAACATCATTTCACTGTATGTGTGGGAGTTCATTTGTGATGTGTCTGTTCTGTTCCACTGGTCTTTCTTTCTGTCCTTGAGCCAGTACCACACTGTTTTGATGAGTTGTAGCTTTGTAATACATTTTGAAATATGGAAGTATGAGACCTCAAACTTTGTGGTTTTTAGCTTATTTTTGCTATTTGGGGTCTCGAGATTCCATGTGAGTCTTAAGATAAATTTATCTCTTTCTTCAAAAAATGCTATTGGGATTTTGCCAGGGATTGCTTTGAATCTGTTCATCGTGTTTGGTAGTACTGACAGCTAGACAATATTGTCTTCCAGTCCATGAACTTGGGATACCTTTGCATTTATTTGCATCTTTTCTAATATTTTTCAGCAGTGTTTTTAGATTACAGTGTATAGATCTTCACCTTTTTGACTAAGGTTTTGCCTAAGTGCTTATTCTTTTTGATCCTATTGTGAATGGAATTGTTTTCTCAGTTTTCTTTCTGATTGTTCATTATTAATGTGTAGAAACAATTGATTTTTGCATGTTGATTTTATATCATAATTTTTCTGAATTCACTCATTAGTTACATCAGGTTCTTTTGGCAGAATCCCGTGAGTTTTCTACATGTTAGATTATGTTGGCTCTAAGTAGATAATTTTGCTTATTGTTTCTGTCTCTTTGTTCCCCCTTTTTTCCTTTTTAAAATTCTTATTTATATGATAAACCAGGATATCTTTTTGTACACTTCTTTGTATTTGGGTTTTTTTTCCCCAGATATAATTAACATGTAACATGGTATAAATTTAAAGTATATGATGATTGATACACATATATATTTTGAAACAATTACCACAATAGGATTCTTAAGACATCCATCTACTCACATAATGACAAGTTTTTTTAACATGGTAGAATATGTAAGGTCTACTGTCTTTGTGTGAGAGGGTGAGCTATGAGCGTCCTTCTACTCCACATCTTGGCCCCTCTCGTAAGGTCTACTGTGTTAACAACTTTCACGTATGTAGTACAGTATTCGTATTTGTAGTCACTGCTGTAAATTAAGTCCCCAGAACTGATTCATCTTAGAACTTGAAGTTTATTATTCTTGACTGACATCTCCACTTTCTTCCCTGGTAACTACTATTGCACTGTTTCTATTACTTTGGTTTCTTTTTTCTTTTTCTTTCTTTCTTTTTTTATTTTCACTGATTTACATATAGGTGAGTTCATGCAGTACTTGCTTTCCCTCTGGCTTATGTTACTTAGCATAATCCCCTCAAGGTCCATCCATGGTGTTACGAATAGCAGGATTTTGTTATTTTTTAAGGCTGAATAATATTCCCTTGTGTATATATAATAGTTTTTGGATATTTAGTTGGACCCTTAGGTTGTCTCCATGTCTTAGCTGTTGTGATGTAGGTTCAAGATACTGAATGTAGTTCCCTGTGCTCTACAGTAGAAACTTGTTTATCTATTACATCCCATTTGTGTATTGTTATTTTGTCTGTGACCCTAGCTAACACATTTTTAAAGCACACTCGATTACATATATGTTGGGGCCAGTGAACAGGGTAATGTAAGGTTACTGTATAGATAGGGAATTGCTATGTTGAATGGCCATTATGTAAGCAGAGAATATTTCATTTATTAATTTTTATTTTGATTTACAGATGATGGTCTTTCAGTATGTATTTTACAAGACAACTGGCATGAACCCCTTGTTAATATCATAAAATGCCTGCTTTTCATGGGTTCAGATAGATTTATAACAGGTTTTTAGAAACCTTTTGTTTTTTAAAAAATGGTTTTAAATGAAGTACTTTCTCAATGCTATATATGTTGTAAAGTTCTAACTGACACCTTTTTACATTGTTCATTAAATAGCTTGTTTTGGATTATTTACCATTATAATTTATTGTCTGTTCTTTGGCATTTAATTATGTACAATAAGTATGCATAAACTATGTATAATATATTTTTTCTCCTCAATTATGAGACAGCAGAGTGTTTACTGCCAATTCCAATGTGCTTTGGGTCCTGGTAGAAAAATATCCTTTCTCTAAGGGCTGACATAGTTTGCACTACATGAATGTTTTTGTCCTAGGGTATTTGAAACTAGGCTACCCTGCAATTAATTTGAATTACAAATTATTTATTTATTAAAGATTCCTATTCCATTAGCATTCCTTAAATTTTGAAGATCACCATTGGAAAGTTTCATAACTCTGTTCAGGATGGGTATTATTTTTGGTGTAAATATGTTTTTAACATAAAGTAACTTATGTTTGGGTGCCACTTGCTGTGTCCAGCGCAGTTTAGGACCGTGTCTGAGGACAGGCAACCCAAGACTTAAGAAACAAAGAGACAGAGTAAAGAGCAAAGATGGGACCAGGGAACTCAAGATCTCGTGGATTTAAAGTGCCAAAAACCTGGTCGACATTATATTTATTAGGAGTACACAGCTCAGAAAAAAATGCGATCAAAGAGGTGGGGCTTTAGATATTCCAGGCGATAAGCAGTAGGTTCTGCTTGCTGGTTAGCTGATTAATTTCAGGTCTGTCTCTTCCGGGAACAGTCACCCTCCTCGGGGTTTGCAACACTTCTAAGTCTATCTTGTTATTGCCCCTGGGACATCTCGAGATAGCAGATACTCCCCCTGGGTTAAACTGCATGCTTTCGTGCCAGAGCAAAGTTCTGTTAATGGATGACTGGCTTTCCAGGACCGTCCATTGTTTACCCTCGGAAACAAATGCTCTCCTTCGTGCCCTTATGGTCAATGTCAGGGTTGCCCCTCACAAATTTTCTTTAGCACAATACATGCTATAGGTCATCTACTGCGTAAAACATTAAAACAAAGCAAGCATGTGCATTTTAAGCAAGTGTGAATGTAACATTTTAAGCTCATGGAAATTTAGGTGCGGCTTGTTTTCTAGCTGCTTGTTTTCCAGCAGGTTGTTTCCCAGCAGATAAACATTACTAAGCTGTTTTATAAAGCAGTATCCCACAGGGTGTTGAAGTGTTGATTTCAGATATTGCTATTGAGCAATATGTTGCATGGTTGATTTTCAACTGTAGTGAAATTTCTTGTTTCTTCTTTTTAATGTGATTCTTTCTTACATTTATTTTCTTCTTCCACACGATGTGATCCACATTATATATTTAACTTACATTTTCCCCGTTTTACACAAAAGGATACATAAATCAGTGTGCTGTGAGATTTTTGTGACATGAAGATGCACATAAGACAATAACAGGTCCAAAGTAAGTGTGCTAGAAACATGAAGAGTTCCTTGAGGTCTTTATTCAGTGAAATACCTGGAAAGACATGAGGTGGTGAATGGAATCTTTTTCTTTTTAATTGAAGTATAGTTGATTTACAATGTTGTGTTAGTTTCTGGTGTGCAGCATAGTGATTCAGTTGTACATATATATGCCTTTTCATATTCTTTTTCATTGTAAGTTATTACAAGAGTACAGTTCCCTGTGCTGTACAGTAGGACCTTGTTGTTTATTTTATATATGGTAGTTTGTATCTGCTAATCCCAGGCTCCTAATTCATCCCTTCCTCCTTTCCCCTTTGGTAACCATAGCTTGTTTTCTATCTCTGTGAGTCTGTTTCTGTTTGTAAATAAGAACTGAAATACTTTAATGTGGGAGTTGGCTATGATCAGGTGCTTGAAAATCAGGTGTGTGGAGATTAATAGGCATGCAGTGAAGTTACTGAAAATATAATGATGAATAAGATGGAAAGTCCCCAAGACTCCAACTATAGTTTGTGGCAAGGAGATCGTCTCCACTGCCAAATGGCCAGAGGCTACTCTGCCCTTTCCCAGTGACCTGGTCATATCCAGAGCTGGTGGTATGAAGG